ATTTTCGCACCAAGAAATATTCCGAAATTACTAACTTTTTTTTTTCTCCAAAAATATTTCCTCAGGTTGAAAGCAAACTGTATATTCCTACTTACCTTAGCCAAATGTTTATGCGGAACATATTCAACGCCATAAACATCTGAGTTGAACGGCTATGCCGAATCGAGTCAACAGTATAACCATCCAAGTTGAATGGTTATGCCGAAGGCAGTCAACGGCATAACCATCCAAGTTGAATGGTTATGCCGAACACAGGCAATGCCATAACTATCCAAGTTGAATGGTTATGCCGAAGACAGTCAACGGCATAACCATCCAAGTTGAATGGTTATGCCGAAGGCAGTCAACGGCATAACCATCCAAGTTGAATGGTTTTTTATTTTTTCGCACCAAGAAATATTCGGAAATTACTAATTTTTTTTTTCTCCAAAAATATTCCCTCATGTTGAAAGCAAACGGTATATCCCTACTTACCTTAGCCAAATGTTTTTGCGGAACATATTCAACGCCATAAACATCTGAGTTGAACGGCTATGCCGAACCGAGTCAACAGCATAACCATCCAAGTTGAATGGTTATCCCGAAGGCAGTCAACGTCATAACCATCCAAGTTGAATGGTTATACCGAAGGCAGTCAACGGCATAACTATCCAAGTTGAATGGTTATGCCGAAGACAGTCAACGGCCATAACCATCCAAGTTGAATGGTTATGCCGAAGGCAGTCAACGGCATAACCATCCAAGTTGAATGGTTTTTATATTTTCGCACCAAGAAATATTCGGAAATTACTAATTCTTTTTTTTTCTCCAAAAATATTTCCTCAGGTTGAAAGCAAACGGTATATTCCTACTTACCTTAGCCAAATGTTTATGCGGAACATATTCAACGCCATAAACATCTGAGTTGAACGGCTATGCCGAACCGAGTCAACAGCATAACCATCCAAGTTGAATGGTTATCCCGAAGGCAGTCAACGTCATAACCATCCAAGTTGAATTGTTATACCGAAGACAGGCAATGCCATAACTATCCAAGTTGAATGGTTATGCCAAAGACAGGCAATGCCATAACCATCCAAGTTGAATGGTTATGCCGAAGACAGTCAACGGCATAACCATCCAAGTTGAATGGTTATGGCGAAGCCGAGTCAACGGCATAACCATCCAAGTTGAATGGTTATGCCGAAGGCAGTCAACGGCATAACCATCCAAGTTGAATGGTTATGCCGAACACAGGCAATGCCATAACCATCCAAGTTGAATGGTTATGCCGAAGACAGTCAACGGCATAACCATCCAAGTTGAATGGTTATGCCGAAGGCAGTCAACGGCATAACCATCCAAGTTGAATATTTATTGATTGAGATCACTAGTTCAGATCAATGCAGTATGTTCCTGAACACGTGGTACAGTGGTAGAAACCACAGACGTCAAATGCGTAATGGATCGATTCTCGCCGAACAATTTTTTATATTTTCGCACCAAGAAATATTCGGAAATTACTAATTCTTTTTTTTTCTTCAAAAATATTTCCTCAGGTTGAAAGCAAACGGTATATTCCTACTTACCTTAGCCAAATGTTTATGCGGAACATATTCAACGCCATAAACATCTGGGTTGAACGGCTATGCCGAACCGAGTCAACAGCATAACCATCCAAGTTGAATGGTTATCCCGAAGGCAGTCAACGGCATAACCATCCAAGTTGAATGGTTATGCCCAAGGCAGTCAACGGCATAACCATCCAAGTTGAATGGTTATGCCGAAGGCAGTCAACGGCATAACCATCCAAGTTGAATGGTTATGCCGAAGACAGGCAATGCCATAACCATCCAAGTTGAATGGTTATGCCGAAGACAGTCAACGGCATAACCATCCAAGTTGAATGGTTATGCCGAAGACAGTCAACGGCATAACCATCCAAGTTGAATGGTTATGCCGAAGACAGTCAACGGCATAACCATCCAAGTTGAATGGTTATGCCGAAGGCAGTCAACGGCATAACCATCCTAGTTGAATGGGTATGCCGAAGACAGGCAATGGCATAACCATCCAAATTGAATGGCTATGCCGAACATATGCAACGGCATAACCATCTTAATTGAATGTTTATGCCGAACATATACAACGGCATAAACATCTAAGTTGAATGTTTATGCCGAACATATACAACGGCATAAACATCCAAGTTGAATATTTATTGATTGAGATCACTAGTTCAGATCAATGCAGTATGTTCGTGAACACGTGGTACAGTGGTAGAAACCACAGACGTCAAATGCGTAATGGATCGATTCTCGCCGAACAATTTTTTATATTTTCGCACCAAGAAATATTCGGAAATTACTAATTCTTTTTTTTGCTCCAAAAATATTTCTTCAGGTTGAAAGCAAACGGTATATTCCTACTTACCTTAGCCAAATGTTTATGCGGAATATATTCAACGCCAAAAACATCTGAGTTGAACGGCTATGCCGAACCGAGTCAACGGCATAACCATCCAAGTTGAATGGTTATGCCGAAGGCAGTCAACGGGATAACCATCCAAGTTGAATGGTTATGCCGAAGGCAGTCAACGGCATAATCATCCAAGTTGAATGGTTATGCCGAAGACAGGCAATGCCATAACCATCCAAGTTGAATGGTTATGCCGAAGACAGTCAACGGCATAACTTCCAAGTTGAATGGTTATGCCGAAGGCAGTCAATGGCATAACCATCCAAGTTGAATGGTTATGCCGAAGACAAGCAATGCCATAACCATCCAAGTTGAATGGTTATGCCGAAGACAGTCAACGGTATAACCATCCAAGCTGAATGGTTATGCCGAAGGCAGTCAACGGCATAACCATCCTAGTTGAACGGGTATGCCGAAGACAGGCAATGGCATAACCATCCAAATTGAATGGCTTTGCCGAACATATACAACGGCATAAACATCTAAGTTGAATGTTTATGCCGAACAAATACAACGGCATATAGACCGGGAGCCCAGAGGTGTGAGCTTAGCTGAAAAGGTTACCAATTTTTATGCATACTGCATTGGTCTATGTACCTAGTGATCTTAGAAAATGGACGTCTGCCGGACACACACTGGTGGATGTGGTCAGGGGGGAGTGAGAAACTAAGCCGCAAAATGAGCTAGATCAGCTGGTGATGTAACCCAACAAATAAAGTAAAAAGCAAATTCCGAAAATACAGGACATCTTGAGAATTCAATATATAATTCAAAACAAGACGCATTTTGAGACTGTAAATTTTCGACTTTATTTCAAAGTCATCTTCAGACAGAATGAAATACAATACTTTACAACACATATATATATACAACGCAGAGAGAGAGCATCTGTCATGTGGGCGGAAATATATATATGTGTTATATATATATGTGTTGTAATATATATATATTTGTTGTAAAGTATTGTATTTCATTCTGTCTGAAGATGACTTTGAAATAAAGTCGAAAATTTACAGTCTCAAACTGCGTCTTGTTTTGAATTATATATTGAATTCTCAAGATGTCCTGTATTTTCGGAATTTGCTTTTTACTTTATTTTTTTAAATTGTCGGCTGGTCATGGTTTTTTAACCCAACAAAACTTAGTGCAAAATGTTCAGCATAGTGCCAGGAGCCATAAATGACCACTGACAGACAATTTCATCAGGGGGGTGGGTTCGCCAGACGTTCTTGAATGCTGACCCCAAAATTGAGCTAGATCAGCTGGCGAGGAAACCCGACGAAAGTAAGTGCAAAATGTTCAGCGTAGTGCCAGGAGTCATAAATGACTACTGACAGACATTTAATCAGGGGGGGTGGGTTTGCCAGACGTCCTCGAATGCTGACTCTCAAAATTGAGCTAGATCAGCTGGTGAGGAAACCCGACGAAACTTAGTGCAAAATGTTCAGGATAGTGTCAGGAGCCATAAATGACCACTGACAGACAATTTTATCAGGAGGGTGGGTCCGCCAGACGTCCTTGAATCTACTGAACCCCCAAAATGAGCTAGATAAACCCGATGAAACTTAGTGCAAAATGTTCAGTATTATACCAAGATGGCCACTGCCAGACATTTTGAGTGGTGGCCTCCCAGCTTACTCTTTGCGTGCCAAATAACGTATATATAACAATCCCATATCATTAATAATTCATGAGGAAATTACCTACTCTATTTGGGCCAAATGATGATAGTGAATACCTACTGAAATACAAGTGTAGTGAATAATTCGGATCCAGTCCTCAGACTACCTAGCATTAATTAGCCTCATTAATTATTAATGAGTATGTACTCGGAAATATTACATTATGAATAACATCAGGCTCAAACGTGTCAAATATTCTAGAAATTAAGTACGAATATTGTGGCCAACGAAACTAATGTCAATAGCAATCAATCGTCGTCTTCCTCTCCCGAATCTGTATATTCGCTCCATATGTCTACATCTGACAGACTTTCTAGCTCATCGTCAGCTTCTGATTCAGTGTCACTGTCGTCTTCACTTTCCATGTTTTACGTGCTGTTTTCTGTAAACAAACTATCTGGTATGGCAGGGCCTTCAAACCAGGTTGGCTTTAGGAGGGTGTTATCAACATACCACCCATAATCTGTTGGTGACAAATTGTCCACATTGCTGTGACATATTGCGTTCGCCGAATTTTCATCATAAGGGCTGGCAAAGAAGGTGGCAGCAAAGAACAGTCTATCCGTTTGATATTTGCCAGCGGATCATTCTAAAAGTGAATCAATGACATGACAGAAAGCTTTTGGAATAGCTAGGTTTACATTGTTTATGAGTATGATTTTCTTGACAAATTTATTGTTTGCATGTCAAAATAGACAAATACGAAGGGCATTATCAAACTTTTATAAGTTATATTTTTTGTCCTTTGACCATGATTACCTGATCAACTTTGCCAGTCATTTGTATGAGTTTCTGGTATCGGGCTTCATTGACATCTTTTGTCTTGGTTACAGCATATATACGACATACAAATTCTGATGCGATGTGCAGGTCAACATCACTATTCCGGTCACCCATATCAATAAAGAGGTTAACGTAGGAGCCTGATTGGTCATTTTCAATTATGGACAGAGGTTTACTTTTGCCTTTCCTGAAAAGTCAAATAAAAAAATTGAGTTAAACATTCATGTTGGTCTCAATTGTTATCGACCAATGCATTTATTTATCATAATGCATATTTTTCTCTATCTTAATGTAGTTCGGTTGGTTTGTATAATATTTAACAGATATTTTACCAAAAGTGAAATAACCAATAATTTAGGTGCTTACCTATAAAAAGCTGACGTAAAATCACATCCAGTAAAAGCATGATATCCGGGCTAGCAAGACCAGGTTTGTGTTCTTCAAGGATTTCTGCAATGTTGGTCACGTTAATATACCTCCGACTGTTTCCAATGCCACAATCCATTATGATGTCAGGTAAAGAGCTGTCTTCTTCATTTTGCCGCCCAATCGCACCAATGAGAATCACTAAGACATCAGTGTCGGATGCCCTCACAACAACATTTTCGGCT